AAAAATAGTATCTCCTCCCTTCCCCCAATGAATAAAACTGGAGAATGTTACCATCTGGAACAAAGAAAGGGAGGGGCAGGATATTTCTTCAAGGATTCCAGGAACACTCTTGCTTCATAAATTGTTTTTAAGTGTGTTTACTCTGTAATCTGAGCTAGTTATTAACTGATAAAATTTGAGGTTAGAACCTGTTCCTAATTTTAGATGACTGGTTTCCCTTGATTCAAAGTCATTGAAGCCTTTTCAGAAACAGCATCTGAAAACTCAATTTAATTCCTGTATGTGTGCAAGTAAGGAGTCCTGGTGGCACTATGGGTTAGGCTTTGGACTTCTAACCACAAGGTTTTTAGTTCATATCCATCAACTACTTCTTGGGAGAAAGATGAGGCTGCCTAGTTCCATAAGTGTTTAGTCTCACAGAAGCCCTATGTAGGGGTTGCTACGAGTCAAAATCAATGCCATAGCAGTGTGTTTGAGGTTTTGTTCCATATGTGTGCAAGTGGGAATATGTTCTTGTAACAGAACATTGGTCAACCAGGGATTACAGTTTATCATGATATATGAGGCTATTACTTAGATAATGAAAAATAGCTTTTATTTTCACAACTTGACTCATGAAATGCATATTATTTTAAATCACTTTGGTAAAACTGAAGTTTAAAAACCTGGGCGTAGACAAGAACTGGAGCCCCTGAGTGGCACTGTAGCATAAACTCTAGACTGTTAATTCCAAAGTTGGCATTTCAAACCCACCTATACCAAGTGTCTGTCAGTCCCAACCCATACATAACACTAGCAACAGGCAAGAACTGGGGTAAACAGAATACTGCGCAACTACCCCACCTAGTGGACAAAGTCATGTAATCCTACTCCGTTCACCGTTTTAAGGAATATTTGTTGTTAAGTGCCATCAAGTCAGTTCCCACGCTGAGTCACCCTATATAGGATTTCTAAGGAGCAGCTGGTGGGTTTGAACTGCTGACCTTGTGGTTTTTAGTCCCATGCTTATCATATAGTGCCACACCAGAAGTCCTTTGAAGGAATAGAAGCAGATTTAAGACAGTGGAAATCAATTGAAGAAAAAACACTTTGGGTGATTAATTGATCACGACAGATAGGAAAATAATAAATTAGAAAGTTGATTTTATCTATTATAAGGTAAGCATGTAAGGAGCCCTGGTAGCATAGTGGAATATGAGCTGGGCTGCTAACTGAAGGGTTAGAATCTGCCAGTAGCTTCTCAGGAGAAAAAAGAGACTTTCTGTTCCCTTAAATATTTACAGCCTCGGAAACCCTATACAGGGCTGCTAAGAGTTGAAACTGACTTGATGGCAGACAACAACCACCATTACCACCAAGGTAACCATTTGAGGAATTTGTTAAGGGATTTAGATTTTCAATATGTAGTAATTCCTGAAGGACCAAAATATTTAACAAATATTTGTTTATTTGATTGTACGTGTACTGCATGTGAAGATATTTAATTAGCTAGATGGTGGAATTAAATGGCCTTTTGTAGACTGGCCTAGGGAGACTTGATGTTGCTGAGGGGTAAGCATTGGACTGCTAGCCTCAGGGTTGTCTGTTCAAACCCACCAACCACTCTGTGGGAGAAAGATGAGGCTGTCTGTTCTCTTAAAGATTTAAGGGAGCTTTCTTACAAATTCCAGTGTCATTGATGACATGGGCTGGAATCTTCCATACTTCCACAACTGAAGTTCAAGGCAGACCCCAAAATGCTTGGGAATGCATGGGTATATACTCTTGACGAGGCCAAAAGGATTCTCCTGTCTGGCCACGAACATCTGAGAATCCTTACATCACATATGTGTATCATGTAACCAGTCCAAACTTGCTTATACTTCTGACCTCTGAAAATAGCCCTAGTACCAGAGATTTAAAGGGAGAGCCTTACAAAAGTCAAATAACTAAGCTCTTTCTTCTCTCATGAAACAGCATTCCTTCTTAGAATTTCTGTGGTGATTTATATGTGAATTATACAGTTAAATGCAATCAATACTTGACTCTCCTGGAACTTGATCAAGCCTGAGTCCACCCAGAACAACAACAGATTTACAGTCTCGGAAACTCTGTGGATCAGTTCTACTCTATCCTAAAGGGTCACTATGAGTGAAAATCTACTCTCTGGCAGTTAGTTTAGAGGTGGGGTTCTGTGGACTAATTTAGAAAAAGTAGCTTCAGAGAATAATTATGCAAATTGTAAATGGAAAGAAAAAGACCCGAGTCTTAAAACTATTATTAGAGTTTTGCTTACATAATTTGTTTCAATCCTACTTTGCCTTGATATGTACTTGACTTACTTTACTATCAGATAACTTTTCTTTGCCTCAGTTTTTCATTTGCCAAATGAAGGCATGTTAATAATACTCAATAAAAATTTATTGAATGGATGATTATGTGTTCAACACATTGATAGATTCTGATAATGCATTCTCTGCTATCAGAGAACACAGTCTGTAGATAAACTAGGTGTAGAAAATACAATTTAAATGTGGTGCAGTGATATGTCCCACCCGATAGATGCATCAAGGAATGATAATCCCAGAAGGGAGGTGGAGTTAACATGCAAGAAAGGCAGCCTGGGTAGTTCACAAACATAGAAAGTTTATTTACTTTCCTAAATAAATTCATAATGTTGTACATGCCACGAAGTTATTTCCTTAAAGAAATATTCAACTGGACAAGGTTAAAAGATGAGGGAGAATTAATAAACAACACAGGAAGGTGAAGAACAAGAGGGCACACCAAGCAGAGATTGTTCAAATGGAGATGTTGTTGTTCAGTGCTGTAGAGTTGGTTCCGACTCATAGCATATAGGGACCTCAGGAACAACAGAACAAAACACTGCCCCGTCCTGCACCATTTGTTATGTGTGACCTCATTGCTGCTGCCACTGTGCCAATTCATCTTGTTGGGGGGGTGGGTCTTCCTCTTTTTCACTGAAGTCCCACTGTACCAAGCAAAGGTAACATTGTGGACAGAGTATTCAACAAAACCAGACTTTTGAATACCAACAGAGCGGGAAAGAGTCTTCAAATCAAGTATCAATGCTATCCGCTTTGTGCACAGGGTAGATAGGGATGGGCAACTTAGACATTGGCTATCTAAAATGAGGGGGCAATAAAGGCACGAAGTGACTGGCTTACAAGGTTTCAAGAGGCAGCTTAGTTAAGAGTGTGGGGGGAAAGAAAGAGTCCCCACTGAATAGTTATCATCTTGTCTAGATGGGTCTGGTGAAAGGAAATAGGGATAAGATTTGTAAGATTCAGTAGTGAATAACTGTTATCATGACTAATCGCGACTGTCACAATTATAAAGGTAGAAGTTTTGTAACAAAAAAAAAGGGAGTGATTAATCTTACAGTCCAGAAACAGAGGACCCTAGGACCATCAAGAGAGGAACATACAAATAGAATGTGGGACCTTATTCAGAGAAGCAGCAGCGCCAGAGATGGAGGCAGAGATGGGGGCATGGAGAGGGGGAGCGGCTGAGGCCTCTAGATTCATCAACTAAGACGAGAAGGACTAAGAACTGGTGGCCAGGAGCAGACTTGCAGAATGTGCCCTTTGGAGATGTAATTTATTATATATGCCTGAGTGGGTTTTTTTGTTTGTGTTTTTTTTAAAAAAAAAAGCTAAAGTGGATAAAGAGAAATACTTTTAACTGATGGTATATGGAGGGGATTATAATCAATGTAATGAAACAAGTTATATGAATTGTTGAATTTGAAACTGATGATGTGCCCTGTAAACTTTCACTCAATCCACAATAAAAACCTTAAATTAAAAAACAAAACAAAAAGCAGACTTTTGGGGGACTCTGGTGTGGTGCTGTAGGAAAAGCACTGAACTGCTAACTTCAAGGTTTGTGGTTTAAATAAACCCAGCCTCTGCTCCTTAGAAACCTTACATATGGTACTATGAGTCTTAAACTTAACAAAGGGAGTATGAATCCTACTAGATATTACCTTCCCTGCCCCCTCAACAGCCCTGGTGGTACTGTGGGTTAGGCATTGGGATGTTAACTGCAAGGTTGGCAGTTCAAAGCCACACCAGCTGTTCCACAGGAGAAAGATGAGGCTTACTGCTACTGTAATAATTTATAGCCTCAGAAACCCTGACTAGGGTTGCTGTGAGTCAGAATTGGTGTGATGGCAGTGGTTTTAAATACATCTCCAAAGGGATGCTCTTCCTGCAAATTGGGGCAATAGGAGGAGCCCCAGATGTGATAGAACCAAGAATACTTGGTTTTTTGTTTTTGGTTAAACACTGGCCTTTTAGTACATCTTTCAGTGAATAAATGCATTGCTTGGGTTTAGTGTTAAGTGGGCATGGAATTAAGAAGAATACATATGAAAGAATTAAACACTAGATAATGAAGTGGTTAATGAGTTCAAGTCCCTTTCTAAACCAGAGGTGTTATGAATGGAACAGTGAGCTCCAGAAATAAAATTCTAAAACCTATTGTAGTTCTAAGGAGCTCTGGTAACATAGTGGTTACAAATCGGGCTGTGAACCTCAGGGTCAGTCAGCAGTTTGAAACTACCAGCTGTTCCGTGGGAGAAAGATGAGGCTTTCTGCTCCTGTAAAGATTTACAGCTTCGGAAACCCTGTACAGGGTCGCTATGAGTCAGAACCGACTCCACAGCACATATCAACAACAACAACATTGTAGTTCTAACCAGGTCTTAATAATAAACATCTGCCTTTAACTTTAAAGTCTTGATTTTTCATCCGTGGTGGTGGTAGTGGTGTTTTTGCTTGTTTTGTTATGTTTCATGGTTGATAGTTTAAAAAAAAAAAGGTAATTGCTAATACACAATAACTACAAATTAAACCAAGTACTTCAGCTGCCAGAAAACAAACAAAAATAAATTATTTTTATGTTTATTTTAATTCTTAATCTGTGTATTTCTAGCTTCAAATGGCTTACAAAGACAAGATGAAATCCTTAAATGAATGCAACTTTTGTCTTCACAGATACAGGCTAGTTCCAAAGGTTCACTTTCCTGAACAAATTCATGACATTGTACGTGTCACCAAGTATTTCCTGCAACCTGAAGTCTTACAGAAGTATTCGGTTGACCCGGACAGAATTGGTATTTCTGGTGACAGTGCTGGTGGGAATTTGGCTGCTGCCCTAGGCCAACAGGTAACACCATCTTCAGGTGGTGGTGGTGGTGGTGGTGTGGGAGGGCTGTTAGGATAATGTGGAACAAACCAAAGCATTGCTCACACAGTGAGATAAATAAAGGCTTAGAGAGTGGGCTGGTCACTAGGCCATCAGGTCATTCATGTAACTGCACTCAGAAATTGTTATGAAGAAGAGGGGGTTATTGAAGGAGGTGTCATCTCTGCAGCTTTGAAAGGGCCATAATTAGAATCAGTGTTGGAGGAGGGCTTCCTTTCTCCTTGGGGTATGCATGGAATTTAACTATGTTTCTCCTATTTCTTTCCCATCTTTCACTAGCAAACATCTTTTTGCTTAAATCCCAATAACTAAATTTATCTCCTTAGAACTGTGAATCAAATTTTAAAAATGAGTTGCTTCTCAAAGTTTTATTTTAATGTAAAAATGTTAAATGGTTTATCTATCTTAAATGCTAATATGACCAGTTAATATGAATTTTACCTGATTAAATTTTTTGTAAACTGCGTCCAGCCCTAAGGCATGCATATTCTCTGTCAGTTCTGTAAACTCAAAGATAAGCATAATTTCTTCATTTTGTGGATTAAATAATTTAAGAAGAGCATCTCTCTTTCCCCACCTCAAATTTTCTTTTGTTATCCTTGAATTTGTTGTTGTTGTAAAGTGCCGTCGAGTCGATTGCGACCCATAGCGACCCTGTAAGGGTTTCCAAGGAGCAGTTGGTGAGCTTGAACCTCCAACCTTGCAGTTCAAATAACTTTGCAGTCTGGCGCATTAACCCACAGTGCCACACCAGCACTCCTATCCTTGAATAACACCTGCGTTTTTAATTGTAATGTACCTTGGTTTCTGTCTCCATTGCTATAATAAAAGAACTCAGTTCTCTGCTTCACTTTGGCAAGTTTGCTATCACGCTGTCCTAAGTGGCAAGAAGAAAATTTGGGTGCAATGGAGAGAGCATCATGTCTGTAAAAGTAGACAGAACTGCAATTGAATCCAGGCTCTACCTTTTAAGAACTATGGGCTTTATGCAAGAGCCTTCCTGTCTCTGAACCTTAGGACAGAAAGGGCACTGTCATCTGATTTCAGGGCTGTTGAGAGGCGTTAGTGAAAAGCTTTCGTTGTTGTTAAGTGCTGTCCAGTTGGTCCTTACTCATAACAACCCTATATAGGGCTTCCAAGGAGCAGCTGGTGAGTTTGAAGCACCGACTTGTGATTAAAACTGACCTTGCAGTCCAGTGCTTTAGCCCACAACTCTACACCAGGACTCCTAGTGAGAAGTTGCATGTACAAATCTTGGCACATATTAATAGTCGTTTTCTCCTGCTTTTAGAGAAGAGTTACAATTTACTTGGAGGTGGAGTTCCAAGGTCTGGGTACGAAACAAATTGTATGGCTAACCTTACCTTGAAGATCACTGAGTTGCCTAGAAAGCACAGTGACCTACTTAGCTTTTAAATGTTACATGAAAAATTACAAAATGAGACAATATATTCACATTGAAGGGAGGCATGGGGGTTTGAGCAGTTTGAAGCCTGCTCAAGTTGGAGATTGACATTTCTATTTCAGCTTGACCCTAGGGCATGTGCTAAGTAAGTACAATGACCAGTAGTATTGAAATCCTGACTTCTCACCAAACATGATCATCAGCACCTCTGGAACCCATTATCTGTTCATTTAGCTTTTCCTACCCCTTTCCTACCCTAAGAGCGCTGGTAGCATAGTGGTTACGAATCAGGCTGCAAACCACAAGGTCAGCAGTTTGAAATAATCAACTGTTCCACAGGAGAAAGATGAGGCTTTCTGCTCCCATAAAGATGTACAGCCTCGGAAACCCTGTATAGGGTCGCTATGAGTCAGAACCGACTCCACGACACATAACCACCACCACCACCCCGTGGAAAGGAGCTCTGGTAGTGTAGTGGTTATGAATTGGGTTGCTAACCTCAAGGTCAGCAGTTCGAAACTACCAGCAGTTCCTCGGGAGAAAGATGAGGTTTTCTGCTCCTGTAATGATTTACAGCCTCAGAAACCCTATGCAGGGTTGCTGTGGGTTGAAACCGACTCAAAGGCACTTAACAACAACAACACCCCTTTACTCTGGAAGAGGCAGGCTAGATTTTTCTCCCTCGGAAGCCATTGCCTGTAAGACAGATGATTGACCATATCCATTTATGATATCCAGTAATGTGTATTAAGTGCTATAAAATAGACATGTTACAGTTCAAGCCTACCAGCTGCTCCATGGGAGAAAGTGGCTTTCTGTTCCCTCAAAGATTTATAGCCTGGCATGGACATTTGACCTATAGAGGGTCTCTGACTGCTGGCAATTAACAACATAATAACAACAATGTGTTAATGGGGTTCAAAGATCATATGCCCTAGAAGGGTTCACTCAAAACTATTATCTAGCAGCTTGATCTGGTGGTGGGGATGATTTGTTTTTAAAACTGTGAGTCGCCTTCAAAAAGTTCATGGGAAAATTCCATTATCTTTCATTTCCAGTTTCTCACAATTTTTTTTGAAGCCTTCTCGCATTACTAAATAACATACTTAGTAAAAATTTAAGATGACATATGCCCTTGACTTCTGGTGTGGCTCTGTAGGATCAGCACTGGACTGCGAACCACAAGGTCAGCAGTTTAAGCTCACTAACTGTTCCTTGGAAACCCTATATAGATAGGGTTACTGTGAGTCGGAATTGACTCAATGACCCTTAACAACAAATGCCCTTGACTAATTCAAAGTAACTCATCAAGCTACTGTATGGGGTGTGATTTCTGTAAAAGGAGTTATGCTAAACAGAATAATTTGTTTGCTTCCTCTTCTCTAGTTTAGTCAAGACACCAACCTAAGAAACAAGCTCAAACTGCAAGCTTTAATTTATCCGGTTCTTCAAGCTTTAGATTTTAACACACCCTCTTATCAGCAGAATGTCAACACCCCAATCCTACCCCGCTATGTCATGGTAAAGTATTGGGTGGATTACTTCAAAGGCAATTATGACTTCGTCCAGGCAATGATAGTTAACAATCACACCTCACTTGATGTGGGAGAGGCTGCTGCCCTGAGGACCCGTCTGAACTGGACATCCCTCTTGCCTGCCTCCATCACAAAGAACTACAAGCCTGTCATGCACACCACAGGCAATGCCAGAATCATCCAGGAGATTCCTCAGTTGCTAGATGCCCGTTCTGCCCCACTCATTGCAGACCAAGAAGTCCTCCAGCACCTTCCAAAGACTTACATTCTCACGTGTGAGTATGATGTCCTAAGAGACGATGGAATCATGTATGCAAAGCGTCTGGAAAATGCAGGTGTGGAGGTGACCCTCGACCACTTTGAAGATGGCTTCCACGGGTGTATGATTTTCACCAGCTGGCCCACCAACTTCTCAGTGGGAATCCGGACTAGGAATAGTTACATCAAGTGGCTGGATCAAAACCTGTGAAGGAGTACAACTTCTAGAAGGCTTGAACCCGTCTTGACCTCTTGCACTTGCTTTGGAAGGATGTACATTTTTTAGTCAAATGATTTCTCCATTACTTGTGACTTATGGAATCTCTATTCCCTGCAGACTTGATGAAAATTGTGTTTTATTTTGTTTTAATGAACCTGATTAACTTAAGTGCAAAACATCGGAACCTGGTTCCCAAAGTGGGCCAGTCTGTTTGTTATAGCTGTTTTAGCCAAACAACAACAAATACCCACAGCAAGACCAGGAGTTGGAAGCTTTTGGTCATGGCTTTGTTAGATGCCCTTTTCAGAAGAATTTCTTCTATCACTTCTCAGCCTTTTGAAGAAATCCTTCCAACTGTGAATGGTATAGTGACCTTTAATGAGTTAAAAAAAAAAAAAAAAGTAATCGCTTTTCAACTTGTTAGAATTTACTTTGGGTTCAGAGCAGGGATAAAATGTGTGCACTTTAAGGTCAGTGCCGAGTCTAACTGCCCTCCGTTCTTTACAAGGATTGTTTTGTTTCCTAAGAGTTTCAGCAAAGACTTTCTCATAGGGAGAATTTTCTCCGAGGACTTTATTCCTCTAGAGTGTTTGTTTTATGAGCTAGCTATCCATAAGTTGGATTGTGATAATACTTGAAAGTTACTTCCCATCACTATTATTAGACAATATAAGATTGCATGCACTAGATACCAGCACATAATTAAGTTTTTATTGCTTTTTATTGTGCTGTATCCTTAGGGAGATCTTTTGGGAACAAATTTATTTAGAGTTAAGATAAATATTTTACTGTAAGTCCCCAGGTTATGTGCAAACTTCCAATTTATGGGCAATTCATACTTACCCTTAATATGTAAATTTGTCCTGACTCTGGAAACGATTGAACCAGTCGCCTGTTTGCAGCAAATTGTTCACCTCTTGCTTCATGAGAAACTTGTCATTCATTGAAGAGGCTTTGAGCCCATTTTGTTCCCCACTAAAGTAAGGCTAAGGAGCTCTGGTAGCATAGTGGTTACGAATCGGACTGCAAACCTCATGGTCAGCAGTTCGAAACTACCAGCTGTTCCGTGGGAGAAAGATGAGGCTTTCTGCTCCCATAAAGATTTACAGCCTCGGAAACCCTGTACTGGGTCGCTATGAGTCGGAACCAACTCCACGGCACATCACAACAACAGAGTAAGGCTAAATAAGAACTGTGTTCATCTGTTCTGAATATAAATACAAATTCAACTTACAGACACACTTAGAAACATATTTTCTTATCATCTAAGGACTGTCTGTATTTTAGAACAAGTAAAAACAGGCAAATGAAACAACCTATTATGTCATAGTGAATACTTCTGACTTTAATTACCAAAAGTAGTGTGTATACATTTGGCATAGTTAGAAAAGAAAATGAATTTAATATAGATTTAAAAATGTATTTAGCATAATTAAATTAGGAAAAACACCTATTCTTGGAAATTTACCTTTTTCACTTACGTGACTTTAAAATGGGGCTATTTTGGAATATATAATATATTGTTTACTTTTAAAAAGTTATTTAATGTTAATATATTAAGCTAGATTTAGGATTTTTCAGAATAATGTCTGAAATTAACATGAAAAATAATGGTATTTTTTAAAAACTACCTTAGATTTAAAAAACTACCTTAGAGTTATAGCCATATGTAATTTTATGGTAAGAAGTAAAATAGCTAATAATACTATAAAATACAAAGCCTAAATATTTTTATGTTTATATGTATGTATAAGGAGCTCTGGTAGCATATTGGTTACAAGTTGGGGCTAACCCCAAAGTCAGCAGTTCAAAACCATCAGCCGCTATGCGGGAGGAAGATGAGGCTTTCTGCTCCTAATAAAGATTTACAGCCTCAGAAACCCTATACAGGGTTGCTATGAGTTGGCACTAACTCCACAGCACTTCACCACCACCACCATATGCATATATAAATTAAAGTAATTAGTAACTATGAGTACATCTGATAAAGTCATTTTACATTTATAGTTCAGTAACTTAGGCGAGATCCAGTCTGCTCATATCTGTTCTCTAGATTGAGGGGAACATTAGTTCATATTCTTTGGATAAAGGGCATACAGTAATACCCTCATTTCTCTTACCAGCCAGGTCTAGAAGTTCTAACCACCCAAGTTTAACTTCCTGTAAAGCCTTCACTGCCAGTAGGAATATCTTTGGCATATCAAGAAACTCCAATTCAGAGTTAGTAGCTGTGCCTCTGCCCTTCTTTCTGCCACTCTTACTTCTGTCTCCAATCCATGCTCTCTTTAGGGACTGCAGAGAACAGCAGTATAACTTGGGAACAATGCATCCACTGATGAAGCGATTTCGCCTTTGAAGGATGGGTATTTCCCCACTCCTGGTAGTGGAATAACAAATGAAAATTTGCACACATCTTTTTCATTTATTGTATGAACTAACAGCATTTTATATGTAAAACAGAAATAAATGCAATAGACTATGTTTGTGTGTATAAAAATATCATCAGCAATAAGATCTTACTTACAATTTTGCGGTCTTCTCTTCCTTTCCTCTAAAATCAGAAAGTTGGGTTACTTGATTTATGAGGTTTCATCCAACTACAAAATTCTAACCATTTTGTCAGGTGAGCAAATTGTGTTGGCCTCTTCTTCTATGGTGTTTTCTTTATAGGCTATTATTCTGTATTCACAGACGCATGAAAACTGGGCTTTTAATTCTTACTCTGTGGTAGCTATCTTCTTCATATAGTACTATTCTTTTTGACACAATTTGAAGGAACCAAAGTTTGGACATTATTCTTGGGTCAGCTACCTCTAAGAAAGCAGAGAAAATAATACATGCACAAAGTTCCATAAAACGACACCCCCCCGAGAATTATGAGCCAAATCCTATAGTAATTATATTCTACAGGGATCTCCTGAATGAAAAAGGGAGTGAAGGGGGGAAAGGGGTTAACCACTGTTTCTGATAAAATACTTGAGTTTCATTGGAAATTTTAATTATGTGAATAATTTATCTAATAACTTACATTATATCCCACCTTGGGTCTTTCTTGCTAAAATTCTGCTTGGGATTTACAACTGGAATTCATGATGCACGAAAATCATTGACTATAAGGAATTCTATAGCTGCAGCAGTGCACTTAAATATACCATCAATTACAAAGACAGCATATGACTGAACAACATTTCATTCAGTTATACAGTGGTCACCATGAGGCGGAGATAACTCAACAACATCTAATAACAACAACAACACAAACCAACCAACAAATTAAGTATTAAGAACTCCTATGAGAAGCCTATAGAGTTTACGTTAAAAATATTTCAATTTGGGGTGAATTCATGGTTCCTTTAGATTTTGTTTATATATATATATATATATATATACACATGCATGTACATATATATAACATTTATGTTCTGCAGATTGTTGTGGGTTTTTTGTTTGTATCTTTTTTAGTATGAATGCTTTGTTTCATTTTCCTATTTTGTGAAAAAGCTGATAATCTTTATTGTAATCATTATTGTTTGTGAAATATGAATGCAATTATATGAAGAAAAAACCTTGAAGTTAAGTGCTGCAAAATATAGTGAAGTGTAAATTAGTTTTAATGTTTTAGCATTTATTTGTGAAAAATTTAAGACTACTATGTAATTATCTTCATGGATATAATATTTTATGCATGATCTTTTTGCTTATTTCCCACTACAAAGGGAGAGGCAGTTTTTATGATGTATTTTAGTAGCAAATATATTTTACAAAATGAGAATCCAGTATGGAAAATCTAGCACTTCTCTGATTTGAATTATGTTTGCAAATAAAATGGCTCCACCTGAGAATGTGACTCTTTCACTTTGTCTCATTTTCTGGTACACATCTAGGAGAGTGCTATATCATCCTCTCTGGATCCCAGAGACATAGCAAATCCTGCCCAAATCTTCTGCCCACAGGAGTACTGCAGCTGCCTTTCACCTTGATGCTATTCATTACATGTCTGGATACAGTATGTGCTGCCTATATTGGGGAAGCCAGCCTTGGACTGAGTAAAATAGTTATAAAAGCCAGGCAGACCCCAAGATTGGCACCTTCAAAACTGGCACCAAGAGAATACACATTTAATAAGGGATGTCCTAGGTTTCTCTAGAAGTCCTGGTGTGGTACTGCAGGATAATGCGCTAGATTGCAAGTCCAGTTTGAACTGCAAGGTCAGTGGTTCAAACCCACCAGACACTCATTGGAAACCCTGTACAGGGTTGCTATGGGTCAGAACCTACTCGATGACACTTAATAGCAAGAACAACAGGGTTCTCTTGAACTAGTGAAAGGTATAGAGGAGGTAACTTCAAAGGGCACATGGGAAACTGACATTATCTTTTCATTCCATTTTTCCATGAACTTTTTGAGGCACTCTCATATGTATGTGAGTATACATACACACATACATGTATACATATTTATACACATACATGTATGTATATGTAGACATTTATACACACACATATATATCTATATATAGATATATATAGAGAGAGAAAGAGAGAGAGACAGTCCTCGTGTGAACTGCTGACCTTGCAATTCAAACTGACCTTGAAGTCAAGGATAAGCACTTGACTTCAAGGTCAGTTTGAATACAAGGTCAGCAGTTCAAACTCATCAGTCACTCTTAGGAAAGCCTATACAGGGTCGCTATAAGCAGGAACTGACCCAATGGCACTTAACAACAACATATACCTATATACTGTTGTTTATTGTTAAATGCCATTGAATCCGTTCCAACTGTCATCTAGTTGATTCTGACTCATAGTCACCCTATGTAGGGTTCCCAAGGCTGTAAATCTACTGGAGCAGAACCAACTCAATGGCACTTAACAACACATGCATATATATTGTTGTTTGTTGTTAAGTGTCATGGAGTCAATTTCAACTCTGAGCAACCCTGTATAGGGTTTCCAAGAAGTGGCCAGTGAATTTGAACCACTGACCTTGCATTTGCAGTTCAAACTGACCTTGCAGTCCAGAGCATATCCTATGGCAACACACCACAACTCTCTCTCTCTCTCTCTCTCTCTCTCTCTCTCTCTCTCTCTCTCTCTATATATATATATATATATATATATATATATATATATATATATATATATATATATATATATTTGTTGTTGTTAA